CAAGTTATATGTAAAGTGATATTTTGTAAATATCTAGTAAGTTGGTGTCATTTTTTGTATATCTTCAGTTGTCTGGAAAAGCTCCTCTAAACAAATTGGTGAAAACACTCCCGATTCCAAAAGATGAAATAAAGCTGAAAGAGGGGGAGATCTGCTCTGTAGCAGGATGGGGTAAAACTGAGAACAAGGATTTTACAGTGGATGACATGAGAGTGGTGAATGTTTCACTCTTAAATCCAAAACTCTGTCAAAGGATTTGGGGGCCTGGTCTTCCTCCCAAAGTGATCTGCGCTGGTGGATATAATACAAACAAAGGATTTTGTCAAGTAAGTTATATTTTTTTGTATATCATCATGTGATCATTGTAATCATAAAACTTAGTGAGATTTCTGTCTTTTAAAGGGTGATTCTGGTGGTCCTTTAGTATGCAATGGAATGGCTGTTGGTGTTGTGTCCTTCAACAGACTCCGTAACTGCAAATACCCTGATGTGCCTAATGTGTATACAGACATATCTAAATATCTTCAATGGATCAACAAGAATATGAAAACAAAGGAGTGTGTGAAGTAATCTTGTTTCAGAAGTTTTCGTAAATGAGGAACATACTCATCTATTTTTTTCAGTGTCTGTCTCAAATTGTGAAATAAAGGTTAAAATACCAGAAGTTCATTTATCAGTAAAAACACATGCATACATGCTTGCTCCAGAGAGAGGTCCCAGCTGCACTGTATCGGAAACTTTTATACACCTCTATTTTCTTGTCATAAAGTTTGATACACATACTTTCCAAATGGTAAATGAGACCCCAAAAAAACATGTATTCGGTGTATATATTCCATGCGGCTTTTATTCTGGCCGACTCCAGGGGCTGTAAAACACAAACAGCAACCTTAAAACACCACACTAAAGGTGGAAGTAGGAAAAAGCCATTTATTCCCTTTTTAAAGCCCCTTTGTGTCATCCAATAGTGACAGTAATTACTTTTCAAGAGATTCTCACAATCTTCTGATCATAGTGATTTTTATGGGTTGAATCAGAAAATGTGTCTAAATATTCATACAGTATTTGCGTAAACTTGTCTGTAGGAGTAGTCACTCTTTTCTTTCTTGTAGTCACTTTTTAAAAAAAAGTTATGATATTGGCAGTGATGACTCCACCCAGTTCCACCTGCTTCAGTCTCTATTTAATCCTATCTGCTCCTAGTCACCTGTGCCAGATTATTACTGAGAGTCTCTAGGGCACAGGTGTCAAACTGGTTCCAGAAAGGGCCATGTGGCTGCAGGTTTTCTGTCCAACCAAGCAATAGCACACCAGACTCCAGGCATCTCATGAAGTCATCATGTTCAGATTGGACTCAATTGATGAGATGACTGGAGTCTGGTGTGCGATTGCTTGGTTGGAAAGAAAACCTGCAGCCACACGGCCCTTTCTCGAACCAGTTTGACACCCCTGCTCTAGGGAGTATTGGTGTTTTCTGATTGCCTGATCCTGACCCATTCTGCCCCTGGAGCTCTGAGCCACCCTATTCCCGTTCAGATCTGTTTGCCTGACCTGTCTTCAGAACCCCTGATGAATTCTGCCTGTTGACTGAACCTACAACTGCTTCCTGACACCGACCTGGATTTCCCTTCGGTCCCACTTCGGGTTTCTGATCTTCTGTCCACGACTTCTATCAGTCTCATGGATACTGGCTTTGACTTCGCCCTCTGGATTATTCTGCCTGTTACTTTAGGCGGAGCTCTCTCCGAGAAAAGCTAGTGACAATGGAAGATAACTACTTTGCAAGGTGAACTGTTGAAATTTCAAGTTCACTACTTTTCAATCCACTAGACTTCGGACACTCATCTAAAATGGCGTAACCACTACATAGAGCCCTATATAGTGATTTGGGCGGACATTCGAACACAGCCAATATGTGTACTTGTGCATTCTCATGTGATCACATGCTCATGAAATGCCATTAGCCTCAGCCCTGGCACTGTTCCAGTTTACAAGAACCTCCATCTTTATTGAGCATGCATCAGAGCATGCATCCAAGCAGATTTGTCCATTCTCACAATTGACAGCTGTCCCAGCATGCACCACGGCAGCAGCAACTTCCACAGCAACAGTTACTTCAAGGAGTGCTAACAGCACTCCGAGTATTAACTTAAAAGTTCTCTTTTCTGTTGCCTTTGAACATTATACTTTTAAGTGCCACTATATGGCCCATTTACTGATTTAGTGCGTAATAAAAAAAAAGGTTTTGATGTTGAGATGACCTTGGCAACGTGCAGACATTAGAGGTTAACCGCAGCCAGGGTTAAACTTGGCCCGTCTGCAGCAACCCTCTCTCGGCATAGCCGTGTGTACGTCACACACGGCTATGCCAAGTGTGAAGCTTGGTTTTGAGCATTTTGGATTTTTTGTGGATTTATATTTTTGGATTTTTGCTTCTGTTAAACTTTTGTCATTAAAACATTCAAGTAACCACCTCTAGTAGAGTCCTGCACGGGTCGAGTTTTACCAACCCGCACCCGCCCGAACCCNAAAAGAGCATTTTAGCGGGTGACCCGTCGGGGACCCGCGGGTACCCGACCCGTTGCAGGACTCTAACCTCAAGCTTTTGTCTGCATGTGGGTCCTGTCAAACAACCTCCTCCCCCATTGTGACAGATCCTTACTTAAACTTGTGACATGCGCAGGGTCATTGTCCATTTGGAAAACCCATTTATCTCCATGCTTCAACCCCCTGACTTACATTGAGATGTTCAAGAGGGATTCTTCCTCCCAAAAACATTTTTCTTTTTTATTTAGGCTTTGGATTAGAGCTTGAATGTAACAGATCGACAAGCTTAACAGATGTAACTGTTAAAAATATAGATTTCTGTAAATAATGACTGACTGTTAATATCTATTGAAGTCCTAGATTAACACTCTTAATTGGCAAGTTTGATTTGTTTGCATCATGCACAGACTGACCAATTTCTGCATGCTTTTATAGAGCTGCAGTGTGCAGTCCACTTAGAATAACTGATTGTCATGATCTCAGCGCTGATGCTGGTATGATTCCTCACAAGACACACCTGATCAGCTCCACCCCATTCTCATTGCTACTCACCCAATGCACCTGCACCTCTCAGTATATGACCAGCCTTCAGACCAACATGAATGCCATTTTATTTTGAGCTATTGGTGGGATCTATCTATCCAGCATTATGATTCCTGACTTCCTGCCTGTTTGCCTGATCTGATCTGTCCCTGTTTCTGCCCCTGCCTGATCCCTGTCTGATCTGACTGCTTGCATGTTCTCCCTGACCCTGATCTGTTTGTCTGCGTGGCCGTTCCCTTACCTGGAACTGTTTCTCAATCTATTCCTGGATTTGCCTCTGATGCTTTTTTGGACTTCTGATCACCTGGCTCTGACACTGGACTTCTCCCCTGACTACGGAATCTGATTTTTCCTCTTGTTCCTCCTGCCTGCTATTGTCTTCAAGGTTCTGATGCTCTGCCTGACCATGGATCATCATAACTCACCTGGGGTTATTCTCTGGGACTTCCTGACCAGTGACAGCAACATCAGCACTACTGTTAATCAGCACAAACCTAATCTCGTTATTCTTCCCAGACAGACGAGAAGATTAGTGACCATTATGTTTGTGATTGATGCACTTCGTAAAACGAAACGGGTCACAAATCATCTGTCTTGGTTTCCAGAGTTTCCTGCCCTAGTCGCTGACACCACTTGCAGTAAAGTATGATATTCAGAGAAAGACAGTTGTTATAATGTCAATCAGAGTATCCTTTAAATTTACACAAGCAGTTTTCGCTCCAGATGCCACATTGATAAAATATGATTAACATTACACGGCAGGTCTTAGTAAAAGGAAGTAAAAGACAATCACAAATCAGAAAACCCTTAATGTTTTACATGTATCACTAGAAGCAACGAGTATTATTATTTTTGGCCTGCAAAGCTAAAAGTGTCATGACAGGTGTCAAAGTCGTTCCAGAAAGGGCTGTGTGGCTGCTGGTTTTCTTTCC